CCCCAAAACCCCAAAACCCCAAAACCCCATGGAGTTAAAATTACCTTTATTTTGAAGAATAGAATTTAAAGGAAAAATAAGTAGCAACTATATATTTAGTATTCCATAAATTGAATAGAAAAATAAACTTCATAAAATATCTACGATGATCTTAATGTTTTATATTGTATATTTACTTCATTTGTAGTTTTGCTCTATAATCTCTTCATAATCTGAAGGCCTATCTTTATCATTGTCTCCTAAATGAGTTTCCTTGACCCAATAATAGTAATCTTCGTTTTCATCGAATGTTTAAGGATTAATCTAAGTCGTCCCCTCTTAAAATATTTTAGTTTTACTTTATCTCTAATCCATATTGGTTTTCGGTCTATTTTTTGCATTACTAGAGTTTGTCTTATATATCTGAAGGTTATTTTTTAATTACCTTATTCTGATTACTGCCTCTTTTTCTTTCTCAAGAACATTTTCTCCAATGACAAGTAAAGACTTAATATCGCTGTCAGATTGATTAGTAGGAAGTATATCTTTTAATTTTTTATCTTTGTTATTAAATTTTGCTTGAATCAGAGGATTGTTTATGAATGAATTCTAAGTACCAAGAGCTGAATATGGTCTAAATGGTTATTGCTGCTGCTAGATTCGATTCTATCCCTGATTATACTTAAGACCTTAGATGAGACTGTGAGAGGCATTGTTTTAGTTTTTAGTAGAGTAGTGATTATAAGATCTCAGAGCAGAATTATTCAAAGCAGCCTGTCTTTAACCCTTCTGGCTAAAAATTTGTATATCTACTTCCTAGTATTCACTTACTTGCAAACTTGGCGATTGCATCTCGCACCTCCTTACTATTTCGATGGGTACCTTTCTATCATCCTTAATCTTGTATGATATACCTTGATGTAGCGGCCCACTGCTCTCACTGTATTCCAATTAATCATCTTTTACTTCATCATTGTACCTTAAACTCATTCTCCATCCTCTTGCCTCCCCGTATTTCTCTTAAATCGATTATGCCTTTTCTAAAACAGCTTTTATTTCAGCTTTAACCCTGTAATCATCTGATTAATTGATCACAGATTCTCTTTTACCCAAGCCCACTTAAGATATTGCAACATCTTTTTGATAATTCCAAATAGACTGAAGTTTTCCAAACTAATCTAGAGCTCTTTAATCTTTAGTTTATGCCAGTTTTTAAGATATATTTTGATGTTTATTCAGCTATGTTTGCTCTTTCAGTTTATTTTAATGCAGTCGCTCTTCTATTTTATATATTTCATCTTGTATCTGATCTTTATGCATAGGTATAATCTCTTTAATGATGGGAGATAATATTTTGTCCTAATTTGAAAACTAATTACTTAGTTAATAAGCAGCTCTAGATTTGGTTGGCTTGCTCGATTGTTGTAGGGTATTAATAACTGATATCATCTCATCTTAATGAGCTTTCCTGCCTGAATTAAGCAGATTGGACCTTTCATCTTCAAGATGATTGTTGTTAGATGTAGTCAATACCTTTTTGATCGATTTATTGAGAGGTATTTTTATTCTAAGCTGTCTGCTGTCTTTGTTCGACAATTAAATAGATTATTGATTGTTTTTATTATCAAAATTTTAGAGATAGTCCTCTACTGATCCCAGCAGATGTCGCTTCTATATTGATAAGGAGTTTTTATTTTCATAACGACTGTTCAATGTAATGCTAGAATCTAAATTCTAGTGCAGTAACTGCACCTAACTCTACAAAAGCTGGTTCTTTTTGTTAGAACTTTGACCCCTTCCGAAATAGTTATTCTCTTCTTCGCTCTCATTAGTTTACACTCTGAACTTACTTGCTGATAAATTATGTGAGCTTTGATGTAATTTTTATTGATTTATTTTCTAATTCGAATTTAGATTGTTGTAATTCTGCTCATTATCATCATGTTTCTAGATTGTGTTAGAATTAACCTTGAACCTTGACGATGAGTTGGTGTCCTATTTAGACACTTAAGTTGAATCATCCTCTAGCGCTGCTTACAGTACTGCCTATTCTGAGTATCTCTTGGCAACAAACATTGTTTTGTGATTTCCTTTTTAGTCCAAGTTATTTATGTTTTTATTCTAAGCCATTGCAAAATATTGCTTTTAATCTTGTATGTCTCCGATCTATTACTTGCTATTAATTCTGATTGGCTACTGCTCAGTGCCTACTCTATTGAGTGATAGTCTTTGCTATATCTAAGGTGCGAACTTCGCCTGTTTGATTGTGTAGTTATTATTATCTGTACCAGTAGCAGGTGTAGGGGGTTTATTTTTTACAACCTTATAAGTATGCTTTCTGACCACTGGCTGCGAAAGAGATGTATTTTGCAAGTGTGAGATATTCCTAAGATAAGTGTTATTCGACTGGCTTTCATTGTTAATGTTGTTAGTATTGTTATTTGAGCTATTTAGTTGAAGTAGCTACGGCTAGTGATTGTCGAGCTGACTCTGTACATTTTGCCGAGGGTAGAGAACTCCAACTGAAGGAGACTTCATTATATTTGCTTTTTATTGAAACTATTAATTTATAATTAAACTAAGTCTACTGATTATTTTATCTTAACACTTTATTTTATCTTATTACTATATTATGGGGTTTTGGGGTTTTGGGGTTTT